ACTACTTGTGATACCGGTATGTGTGATTTTTCGTGAACCCCACGTTCCCTCTGATACCGTTTGTTCTCCCTCTGCTCTGGAGTTCAAAGTTGGCGTCGGGTGCCTCAAGTGATTTCCAGTTTAGTCAAGTAATGTTTACCGTGGAAGATTACCCGTCCCAAAGTCCAGGGACGCCAAGTAAACACCACATACTCCAGTGTCGGCATGACCCTTTTAGCCAGCATTTAAAACAAAAGAAGAGAAACTAGCAGGAGGGTTTGTCTTTGCTGTTTACTTTGGGCTCAGTATTTTGGTGTGAAGGGTCTCTTGTGAAGTAAAAAATGCTGGGCTATTTTAAGACTGAGGACCACAGAGGAAAGAAAATCTTTGTGCTTCAGAGCAGCATCGATTAATTTGTTTAAATTGAATTCTTGTTAGAACATTCCTTACAAATGTGCTTAGTGTCTTCCAGGTTTAATTTTTTAAGTTAATCTGACCTGTCGACAGATCTTTAGTACAGGCAAAAATATCAGAATTTTGAAGGAGGCAGCAGCTGAAAGTGTGACAATAATATATTTTTGGTACCAGCATAGTGTTGGAATTTTTTTTAAAAATTTATCCTGCTCCCACATTTGGCACGGAAGGCCAACGCATCGCATCCTTACCCTGGTCAAGTAAGCTGCAGAAGTGGGACGTTTTCTCTGAGCAACAGACCAAAAAAGCTCTTTTATTTGAAAGTCCATTTGGCAGGCTGCACGTTGTCCCATTGTTGGATTCTGTTGCAACCAGCCAACTCATAAAAAGACTTTGTTTTGTTGGGTTTTTTTTTTGGTTTTTTTTTTACAAACAAAAAAACCTCTGAAATTGTTTGAGAGAGAGATTAATAGTAACTGCAGTAACTGCTGGTGGGAAATTGCAGCTCAAGAGTAATACAGATACAAGACCTCACTCTCCAGAGAGAACCAGAATACGCCCGTTGGAATCAGAAGCCTGTGTTCGTGGAACTGTCCAATTCCCATGGCAACTCACATCCTGTTTCTCATGTGACAACACCCTCCCCTCTTTTTTTTTTTTTTTTTTAGATTTTGCATTTCTACTGATTGCAAGACACTCCTTGCAGGAAAGCCTGACACCCTGACCTCACCAAGAGGTGAACAAGAGCGGGGCCACTTTTTTTTTTAATCCCCGGTATGGTTGTTGCTATCACAGAAAACCCATTCTCTGCCATTTGCCATAAAGGGAAACACTCTACAATCAGCAACCTGACAATGGCTGTAACCGCTCGTTCCTATTGGTCCCCCGGAACTTTGTTGGTGATTCCAAAGTTCACCCTGGCCTCTTGATTGTTGATCTGCTTCAGATATAGTGCACTCGATACTGCGAGTCGGCCACACTGACAACTAGACTAGTGAATACCAGGCTGGTACTTGTATACATCACGGCTACAGTACCTGCAGAATCACACATGCATGTCCTGTACTGTGCACTGGAAGCTGTGTTGGGATCTGGTTTCTCTGTGTGTCACCCGACCAGCTGTGATGCACTGTGTTTCAGTGCAGTCCCGACACCAGACAACTTCCCCGTGTGGATTTTGGGCTTGGGGGTTGAGTCCTTCAACTCGGTGCTTGCCTTTGCGGGATCAGAGACATCAACTTCACTGAGTGTTTTGACAAGTTTTGCAAAGACCAAGTTTGTGTTCACTGTGCGGGATCGTTTTTGCCTTCTGCAGAACTGCCTGTTTGACTTCTGCATGGGAGTTTTCTTGGATTAAGAAGGCCCAGTTTTGTCAGGACTTAAAAACTGTGTGGAAATTTTTTTTTTTTGTCGGAAATCAATATGTTTTTAGATTCTGCAATGTTGTCCGTCGCTCCGTACTGTGACGATGACAGGCCGAGGGCGCGGTCTATGCCCGAGGCGAGAACGCTGCCCATCATTAGGGGTAAGATCAACTTCTATTCTTAATCCACTTCAGTTCACCACTCAACAACTCAACATCCAATCATTTACACACTGTAACAGGAGTTTAAGAGGATAACTTTCCAGGAAAAAAAGAAACCAGTTTATGGTTGATGTTTTGTGTGATCGTTCCACTTGGCAAAAAAAAGTCTCAAAATCGGTGCTGGAGAATACAGCGTATTGCATTATCTGCCTTGAGCAGAAGCACCCCCTCATAAGTTGAAAGACGGCCATGTTGGTCGAGAGTGCTCATTCTGTTGATAGCTATGCAACGTAACGCATGCATTTCATTGTTTCTAAACCGGCAAAGTGCAGTTCCTACAAAAAGAGCTCGGTTGCTCGGAAAATTGTGCCCTCTCTTGGTTGTTCTTGGGGCTTATAACCAGAGAACAATTGAGAAGATGCAGATAGAGTGCGTTGCTCAAGGACACACAACATGACAAGTAGCTGGTTTCGGATCCCTGACTCACACTTTGCAAACAGCACCCCAAGCTTCATCTCAGGAACACATTTGAAAGATGGATGGTAACAGGTGTATGGGGTGTCCTTTTTTTTTCAACCGTCACATATGTACATGGACTAGTGTGTCACTTCAGAAAGGCCATTATCACATAATCCAAAACTACATGTACATTTGTTTTCTGATTCTTTGACATGGAAAATAAACTCACCGGAGGGAACGTTTTTACTGATTGTGTATTCAGGGAAAATGAGAGCAAGAACATTGCCCATCATCAGCGGTAAGATGGATAAATTTGGATAGATTTGCCCATGACTTGCAACCATTCCACTGACAACAGAGATCATTTCCAATTCATTGTGGCAAATGCCTCAACACTCGCCTTTGGAAAGCAGTGTGAATATTCCTCATGAGCCAATCTCCAAAGATCCTCCCAAAGAGAGATGCATAAATGATCGGTGAGATGACTTGTATGATGCCCGTAAAAGGCGGGTAAAGGTTATTGTGTGATTGTGAATGCGTAGGAAATCATTGATAAAGCTCGATACACAAAGGCTAAATGTCAATAACTGGTTATAAGTGGTTTAGAAACTGGAGAATTGCCAAGTTGGCTCGGACCAACGTCCATGTTGGTGTACGTTAATCATGAACACTTCAGAAGAGTAATTGTTCAGACTTCAAAACAACTTCAGAGTTTCATCCCCCGGGCACGCCAACAGGAACACAAACAACAAACCCAGTGATTTCAGTAACGACGGCAGATCATGCTTCCATCTGACCATGTTAAATTAACACACGGACATACATCCCCACAGCAACTGGGCTCTCACCCCAGACTCGCCCAGTTCATTGACACAAACACTCCATGTTCATCCAAAACTTCACCGACCTTTCGCCGCAACCTATGCACGCCGGCAAAAACAGTGGGTCCTTCATTACACACATGTCCCACTCTGTGCTGTTGCTGCATCCAGGGCTTGTCCCTTGTTGACGCTCACACACACTACACACACACGCTCGGAAAGAGAGAAATCAAAAGCTCTATAAATAGACCCACTTCGCCGCTGTGATATTGTCGGATGACAAGCCATCGGGCAAATCGCTTGTATCGAATTTATGCTTGGCCCGGCAAGCTTGACGCACGTAGTTGTGCCCACTTAAGGATGAGTCTAAAAATTGCTCGCCACGACAAACAAGATACTACAGGTTTGCGTCTTTTGGTGGTGTTGTTTGCAGCGGCACGTGGGATATTATTTGGGGAGTTTTGTTTTGCTAAGAAATCTTGACATGACGACTTTCAGGTGCCTGCCTCTTTTGTGCCTGTGTGCATTTAAATATAGTTGTTGTGCATGTAACACAGATCACATTATCAAAATAACTGCAAAGATCTGTTTACTTATTTATGGTTAAGGCCATTTTTTTTTCATGACACATGTTTTCGTTGAATTATTGGTCAGTACACCATCTTTGGAAATGCCGTAACAAGCTTTGCTCATGTACATGTACATGTATGTCTCTGTAGCTCCAAGCCTAGATGTTGAACACGTACAGCTGTCTGTCTGAAAAGTCTGTCAATTTTCTAAACGCAAGTTCCATGTAGATAGGTTGAAATTCCTCAGCCTTTGTATAGTTGTATATGGTATTTAGAATTCTAAACTGTTCCTGTACGGTACATGTATTGTGCACTGAATGTATTTACATGGCAGTCCTGGTATAAGTGAGCTATTTTTATATCTGATGTCCTTCAAACAGACAGTGGCCAGTCATTCATACCCTTGGCCTGGTCTATTCATAGACTGTTTTGCAATGACTGAGCACCGCTCTATATTCACAGTTGCAACAACAGCCGCCTATCTTATTCCCTCCTTATCCCAAATCCTTTTTTTTGTCGGCCACTATCATGAGGGTGCTGTTATTTTTAGAGGACAGCGCAGTTTCTAATCTAGCTTTGGTTGCCGAGAGGTTCTTACTCCACACAAGCAACCTCCTTTCGTGGAGGTGATTTCTTTCTTGAATGATAAGGCTGGATTTTCAACGAGATTGTATATGTTTTTTTTTTACTCCACCGTTTGTACTCGAGTGCAGTTGATGTTACACTGGTTAGCTTCATTGTGTGCTGACAATGTTGCCCATGAACGACAAGTGAGTTGTGTTGCTGGGCAATGCCGCCGAGATCAATTGTGATTGATTAGGATTGATCAGCAACTCCCGCGTGAGAAAACATTGTGTGATTTGAAGGCTGCCCATGTGGAACCCATGTAGGGTCGTTAGGTAGAGCAACTGGAATTGCATGGCAGAGGTCAGAGGTTCAACTCCCAAGATACCAACGCTGGTTAGTGTTGATAGCGAGACATGCTCTTGCAAGGAGCGGCTGTAATCTGCGGGCAAGTTTGTGTGGAATTGAACACCGGATCTTTCACCCCATACAGAGCCATTGGTTTAACCATGCACCTATCAGTACCCATGGCCGATTCCACCCACCAACTGGGCCACTCTGTGGATTCGTGTGACCAAGCCATCCGCACCACTAATCAAGCCGTCGCGGCCGATAGTTAAACATTACTTTACGATTCATGTAATTTGTTTTTCTTCCTCATGTCTGCAGAATCTACCGTTGGAGGAGGCCACGAAAGCGTGAACATTGAGACCCACTTCAACAGTATGCACCTGAAAGGTACATGTATGACAAAGGGTCCCATCCCGGGGTTGAGGTCGATAAAATTCCTGGAAATATCTTACCCTTGGATCGCAAGATATCCTGTTTAACATTTCCCAGTGGGTCACATTTGCTTCCTTTTTTTTTTTTTTTTAATTCCCAGTTGAATAACCTGGAATACGACTCTGGAACATTTGTAGCCGGTGATTTTGCCTCTCCTCAAATGTCTGTGGAATTTGATAAAGCGACATTGCCCGGACTCATAAATATCAGATTGCCCTTTGTAAAGTGGAATTTGTTTTCCCCAACTGACAGTCAGTAGTTTCAAGTGGCTTCTCGGAATAGTTGCAACAGACAAGTTTAATGGTTGAACTTCGAAGTTTTCTTGGGTAGTCAGTGCAAGTTTTCAATCAACTGATACTGTACGCAGAGAGATTGAAATCTGTCTCTGCCTCAGTGTACGAAACAATGAAATGATGAATTTGTTCTTTTTCCGTACTTAATCCAGGCTGAGATTGTCAGTCCTCACTGCAGTATGTTTCTACTCCTTTAATGTGTATACCGTATCGCTCTCGTAAATTTTGGAAGGTGTGAAAAATGAGGGCAGGTTAGAAGGTTCAGAATTTTAAATTAGAAGGGCCACCTAACTTGAAAGAAAACGTCAAAAGAATGGGTCTGATGGTGGGAAAGTTCTGAAATGTTGACAGTCAACGTCCACTTGGATGATACCAGCTGACCAACCAGAAGACAGATAGTGACAAGTGTGAAGTTTTACAAGAAAAACACGAAACCCAAATACTTGGGGTTCTACAGGTCCGAGATCATTGGATGGCTGAAATCCACCAAAGATGGTAGGACAGATGAGCTGATTGGACATTCTCTTTCCTTTTTTTCCCCCTTGCCTGTGGGAACAGAAGATGTGGCCAGCAGCCAGGTGCCCGTTGGTCCTGGTGACCTGCCGACCCGGCTCAACCCCGAGGCGGCCCGCCAGCTGCAGAATGAGCTACTGGAGCTCAAGCAGCAGCAGCAGTGGCAGCAGCAGGTCCTCATCAGTCAGTTCAAGCAGCAACAGGAGCAGCTGGCCAAGCAGCATCAACAGCAGCAGCAAGAGCTGATCCGGGTAAGTGCCTCAACCCAACGCTTCAACCTTGCACCTCAACCCAGCACCTCAA